CATGCACGGTGCCTGGAAGCCAGGGAGGGATCAGGGGGCTAGAGAGGCTGGGATGGGGCACAGTGGTCCAGGAGACAGCTGCAGCCGGAGCTAAATTTAGCCTCTGATCTGGCTTTGATGCAGATTCATTTTTGGCTAAGACAGTCCCCCCTCCCCTCCCTACCCAGTCTCTTCCCTGGCAGTGGGAAGGGCCCCTGAAGCTTGAGCTTAGACCAGGGTAAGGACCCCTAGGCTGCCCCCGACCCGCACCCCAGTCTGTTCTTCCTCAACCCCAGAGAGGACGATGGCTGTGGGACAGCTGCCTTTGCCTGGGCACAGTGCCTGCATCTTCCCGCCCTGGGTGTCCTGGGGGTCTGCGAGGGGAGGGGGAGACAGACACCATGCCCTCTTCCTCCTCCCAGTGCCAAGGAGTCACTATTTATAATTTTAAGTCTTCAGTGTCTAATTATAGCTGAGAAGGGGTTAGCAAGAGGGGGGCCAGGAGGTGTCACCTACCGAATGTCCCAGACCCAGTCAGGAGAGAGGAGGAGAGGCTGAGTGAGAAGGCTGGGGGAGCGGGTGTGTCCTGTCCTTACCTGGGGTCATGTCGCAGGCCTCATACCAGCCAGTTTGGGCCAGTTGGAGAGGGAAGGGCCCTGAGTGACAGTGACAGCTGGCTGGGACTGGGACAGGGCTGCAGAGAGGGTCCCCCCCACCACCCCACAGGGTCTTCTGGGGACAGACTGAGACAGAGCCTGCCTGCATCAAGGGTGCAGAGAACTCGGCCCCTGACCCCGCTTTTCTATCTCTCCTTTCAGGGCCAGCATATGGGTGAGGGGGCACCCCCTGGGGCCTGAGCCGCCCCGCGCAGGATGCCCCGTGCCCCCCACTTCATGCCCTTGCTGCTGCTGCTGTTGCTTTCACTTCCCCACACCAAGGCTGCCTTTCCCCAGGACCCCCCTCCTCTGTTGACCTCTGACCTACAAGGTGAGCATCCCTCCCACCCCCGCCAGTCCTCTTTGTGAGCAACTGACCCCACCCCTGTGGGCAGCAAGGTGCAGGGAGCCTCCAGAAGGCTACAAGCCTGACCAGCAGGGCAGTGAGTGGGCAGAGTGCGTGGAACAGCGGGTCTCAGGTCAGTGTTTGCCACCCCGGCCTGGGTTCTCCTGAAGGTGGCGTCGTTGTCTTTGGTGGTAAGAACACGGACTCTCAGCCAGACTAAACCTTAGCAGGTTTGAATCTCTGCTAAGCTGCTCACTAGCCGTGTTGCGTGACCTTGGTTAGGTTATTTATTTATTTATTTATTTACTTGCCAGAGTGTGTTTGTGTCTCTCCCAGAGAGAGGCAGGAGAGGTAGAGGGCAACCCCCAGTGGGGCATGGTCACGCTGCAGTCCTTTCTCTAAGTCTCCATCCTGGAGGGGTTTGGCACATGCACATGCCCGGCATGCTTTCTGAGCCGTCCGGGGTGGAATTTGAACTATGGTTTTCCACGTGGGATCCAGCTCCCTTAGCCATTAATTCTGTAGTGCCGACCCAGTTAGGTTATTTTCTTGATATTTAAGGTTGTTTGTTTTAAATTTACCATAGGATGTGTGCACTCTCCAGAGAGACAGCGAGGGAAAGTGAGACAGCACCCTCTGGGGTGGGGGTGGGGGGGTGGCCACAACACAGTCCCTTTTCCTGTTTTCCTCGGGATTTGGGGCACACATGCATATGTGTCTAGTGTGGTTTTTTAAGTTATTATTATTATTTTTTTTTGGAGAGATTTTCGCTATAGGGCGCATGTGTTCGCTAGACAGACAGAGACATAGAGACAGAAAGCAAGAGATCACCCCCCAGGGGGGATGGTCACGCCGCAATCCCTTCTCCATTCTCCTCTCGGGATCCTGGGCACGCACGCACACGTGCCTGGCGTGAGTTTTAAGCCACCGGGTCCAGGACGCGAACCGTGGTCAACTACGTGGGAGTCCAGCGACATAGCCATTATGCTAACTGCTGGTTCCCTTTAAGTTATGTTTTTAAAATAATTATTTTATTTAACTTTATTCATCATCATCATCATCATCATCATCATCATCATCATCATCATTATAATTATTTTATTTGACCAGGGAGAGAAAGGGAGGGGGGAGCAAGCCACCAGGTCCGGGACTCAAACTGTGGTCAGCCATATGGAAGTCCAGTGCCTTAATCACTATGCCACCTGCCAGCCCCTTAAGTTATTTTTACTATAAGGTATGTGTGCTCACTGGAAAGAGACAAAGTGCGAAATCACCCCCTGGGCGGATGGCCACAGCACAAGCCTTTCTCCATTCTCTTTTTGGTATTTTAAACATGTGTGTACACGCACCTGGTATGTTTTTCAAAGCCTCTGGGTCTAGGACTTGAACCTCACAGTCAGCCATGTGGGATCCAGCACCTTAACCACCACACCACCTACTGTCCCCTCACCAGGGTCTTGACACTGCAATCTACCCCCACCTTCAGCCATTCTGGATCATGGGCACATGTGTGCCTGGTATGTTCAGGGGGGTCTCCAGACAGAAACCTGAAACGTTCTTATCTGGGGCGACCTTGCAGAGTGTTGTGCTTACCTTGCTCCACCATCTGGCCCCTTGGTTTTCTTACATACCCTCTTTCTGCCTCAGTCTCCTCATCTGCAAAATGAAGACAGTATTCTGCCTCATGGAGTCGTAGTGGGGATCTAATGAGGTAGTACATGTAAAGTGCTGAGAGCCTTGTCTGGCACAAAGCAAATTTTTAAAATATGTTTGCTATCATTGCTGGCTGTGAAGTGAAGGCTGGGGGTAGCCCAGTGATTCCTAACACCTCGTACCTCTTACTCTACCACATGTACCGCCATAGGCCTAGGTCCCACTACCACAGAAGCCATACACATACTTTTTCTGAGAAGAATACTTTTTTAAAAGAGATTTTTACTATAGGGTGCATGTACACATATGCACCCGGTATGAGTTTCAAGCTGCCGGGTCCAGGATAGTCAGCCACGTAAGAGTCCAGTACCTTAACCACTATGCCACTGTTGACCCCAGAGAAGAATTCTTATCTATTTGCAGGTCCCTGTTTTATATGCAGGATTCAGAGTAATTTTAAAGGTGGAGGAACTGCAGGGACCAGCAATTAGCATAATGGCTATGTCGCTGGACTCCCATGCAGTTGACCACGGTTCGAGCCCCAGATCCGGTGGCTTAAACTCACGCCAGGTATGTGTGTGTGTGCGTGCCCAAGATCCCGAGAGGAGAATGGAGGAGAAGGGATTGCGGTGTGGCCATCCCCCTGGGGGGGTGATTTCTCGCGTTCTGTCTCTCTGTCTCTCTCTGTCTTTCTGGAGAGCACATGCACCCTATAGCAAAAACCTCTCCGAAAAAAGAGAAGGAAAAAAAAAAAGATGGAGGAACTGCAGTTGGGTCGTGGGGAGTAATTGCTGGGGGGTAGATAAGGATAGCGAACTCGCACATGTAGTAGACACAATTGTAAGCACGTTGGGAATGTTACATTATCTATCCTGAGCTCTGGGCTCCCTTGGAATGCTGATGACTGTGGTTCCCCTGATCAGGCCAGCAGATGCTGGAGTTGGTCTGAGGAGGCAGGAACTCTGGAGGGCTGAGGTGGCCTATGAAGAGCCTTGAGGGGAGGGTGCTGAAGAGGGCTGGGAAAAAATGCTCCAGATAAGCAGTGCACAAGGTGTAAAAGGAATTGCTAGCTCTAGAAGTTTTTTCCTTTCTGTTTTCTTTTTCTTTTTTTTCTCTCTCTAGCAAAAGAGAGACAGGGAGAAGGAGAGGAGGAAGCATCCCCCATCGGGAATGGGTACTTCGCAATCCCTTCTTTTCTGTCTCTCCCTCCTTTAGGGATTTTGTGCACACATGTGCAAACTCGGTGTTTCTCAAGCTACTGGGTCTAGGACTTGAATGATGCTATCAGATTTGTGGGATCTGGCTGCCCACTCTAAGGCAGTTCTAAGGGGCTGGGGGCTGGATGGTGACGCAGAGGTAGCACAGCACTGTGCAAGGCTCACTCACAGGGACGGTTCTGGGTTTGCCTCTGGAGAACTCTGAATACGGCAGGTGCCCGTGATTCACAGTTACCTGAGGTATAGGCTGAATCATGGTGTGATGACTACATTGGGGTGCTCTCTGTCTCTCTCACTCATGCAAGAAATAAATGACTAAATTTGTTTTAGAAGATTTTTTTATTGGGACCAGCAGTTAGCGTAATGGCTGTGTCGCTGGACTCCCACGTAGTCGACCGCGGTTTGCATCCCGGACCCGGTGGCTTAAAACTCACGCCGGGCGCGTGTGCATGCGTGCCCAAGATCCCGAGAGGAGAATGGGAGAGAAGGGATTGTGGCGTGACCATCCCCTCTGGGGGGTGATTTCTCGCTTTCTGTCTCTCTGTGTCTCTGTCTGGCGAGCGCACGCACCCTATGGCAAAAAAAAACCCTCCAAAAAAAAGGTTTTTTTATTTAACTTTATTTTATTTAATTAATTAATTTATTTTAATTTGACCAGAGAGGGACAGAGTTAGAGAGAGAGAAAGAGAGGGAAAGTGAGAAAGCAAACCACCAAGTCTGGGACTTGAACTGTAGTTGGCCATATGATAGTCCAGTGCCCTTAACCACCATGCCATCTGCCAGCCCCTAAATGACTAAATTTAAAAATTGTTTTAGAGGATCTAGCAGATGGCATGGTGGTTAAGGTCGCTGGACTCCCACATGGCTGACACAGTTCAAGTCCCGAACCTGGCAGCTTGCTTTCTCATTTTCCCTCTCTCTCTTTTGCTCTGTCCCTCTCTGGTCAAATTAAAATAAATAAATAAGTAAAGTTAAATAAAATAATTATTTAAAAAAATTGTTTTAGAAAAGAAAGGACATGGGACAAAGAGAGAGAGAGAGAGAGAAAAGAAAAGAAAGAACAGGCCAATGGGTGGCATGGAGGTTCAAGTGCTGGATCCCACATGGCCGACTTCACAGTGCAAGTCCTGGACCTTGAGGTTTGAAAAACACACCAGGCATGTGTGCGTGCCCAATATCCCAAGAGAAGAATGAAGGAGAAGGGACTGTGGCATGGCCATCCCCCCGGGGGATGATTTCTCACTTTCTCTCTCTCTGGTGAGCACACGCAACCTATAGCAAAAATCTCTCACAAAAAATTTTAATTATTATTTTGTTAATTTGTTATAGGGCATGTGCGCTCACCAGAGAGAGAGATGAGGGTTGGGAGGAATAAGAAAGCAAGCTGCAGGTCTGGGACTTGAACTGTGGCTGGTCACGTGAGAATCCAGCTCCTTAACCACCACGCCACCTGCTGGCTCCTTACTATTATCATTTTATGGACAGTCTTTGGGCACCTCACCTCACGTGTGTACCCTATCCGTGGCTGGGTTTCATCTGGAGAGGGTGCTGGGGAACGCGTGGCGACCCGGCCGGCCCTCAGTGTGCCACTGCTCTGTGGTCTCTAGGTATACCCCCTTCATCCTGGTTCCGGGGCCTGGAGGACGATGCTGTGGCTGCGGAACTTGGGCTGGACTTTCAGAGATTCCTGACTTTGAACCGGACCTTGCTAGTGGCTGCCCGGTAAACTGGCCGTGGCACAGTTGTGGGGCAGACATGCATGCTCCTGGGCAGACATGGGACCTGCATGGCCACTGCAGCATCCTGCAGGGGACACGTGCAGGTGCACAAGCCATGGGACATGGACATACTTGAATTGGAGCACAAATGCCAAGGCATGGCATGGGGGGAGGGGGCAGGAGATTTGTGCTATTGGTCCCTGGGCAACTGACCGTGGGTAAGGTGGGAACTGTGGTGCCAGGGGCGGGGGGTGCCTTGCTTGGCTCTGACCCCCGTTACCCGCCCTTTCAGGGATCACGTTTTCTCCTTCAATCTTCAAGCCCAAGCAGAAGGGGAGGGCCTGGTGCCTGACAAGGTGAGGGGCTGTGGGGAGAGGAGCAGGCGTGGAGAGAGGCAGGGAAATGACTAACACGGGCCCAGGGGGCGGGAAGAAGGAGGCTGAAGGAGCCTGATGTGAGGAGGGGTCCAGGTCACCGCATGACTTTCCCTCCTCTACTTCTCGCCAGTATCTAACATGGAGGAGCCAAGACGTGGAGAACTGCGCTGTGCGGGGGAAGCTGACGGTGAGGGGCCCATGAATGTGTGTGGGAGGGAGAGGGCTGCCCGCCAGGAGCTGTCCCAGCGGCCCTCTCCCAGGCCCCCTTCCCACCCCTCTCCCATCCGAGGCCAGGGGAAGGCGAGAAGGAAAGAACCAATGCTCTATTCCCTTTCACTCCTCACGGACAGGGAAAGGGAGATTCAGACCGAAGGACATGCCCAAGGCTGCAGGGGAGCTGACAGCTTAGTTGGGACATTCTCCCCCACTGCTCTGACAGGCCCCAGGGTAGCAGCCTTATTTCCTGCGACCCCCAGTCCCAGTCCTAGGCGCCTGTCACTGACCTGGAGTTTTGACTTCTCCAGGACGAGTGCTACAACTACATTCGCGTTCTCATTCCCTGGGACTCCCAGACGCTCCTTGCTTGTGGAACGAACTCATTCAGCCCCATGTGCCGCAGCTACGGGGTACGAATGTGGGGTCAGGAACACCCCAGAATGGGCAGACGGATGGGAATGAATCAGGACTGAGGTCGGGAGTGGAAATGCAGGGACCTGGCAAGGGTTGGGAGAGGAGGCAAGGGGACACGACTGGGAACCAGACTCCGAGACCCCCAGGGTTCCAGGAACCTGCTCCCTCTGCCCCCAGATAACATCGCTGCAGCAGGAGGGCGAGGAGCTGAGTGGCCAGGCTCGATGCCCCTTCGATGCCACCCAGTCCAACGTGGCCGTCTTTGCAGGTGTGCACCTGGGCGTGTGAGCAGCAGCCGTGTGGCTGGAGGGAGCGCCCGCCTTAGCTCTTCTCCCAGCTTGTCTTTCCCCATTCCCCTCTCTGGAGGGCTGAGGTAGGGCCAGGCTCAGGCCTAGGCGGGGGGCGGAGGGGCCCGAGAAGAGGCAGGACACAGATCCCCGCTCTCTCCCTGACCCCCCACCCATCCCTCCAGAGGGCAGCCTGTACTCAGCCACAGCCGCCGATTTCCAGGCCAGTGACGCTGTAGTTTACAGAAGCCTGGGGCTGCAGCCCCCACTGCGCTCCGCCAAGTACGACTCCAAGTGGCTCCGAGGTCAGGGCGGGCCTGGGGAGGGGGTACGGAGGGAGGACGGGTGTTGGGGCAGGCAGGTGGCACGGTAGTGCGGATGTGCGCCATGGGGAAAGGTGTGTGGGGCTAGGGTCTCTGGGCACGCAGAGATACTCTTCCATACCCTTTCCCTAGAGCCACACTTCGTCCACGCCTTGGAGCATGGAGACCATGTCTACTTCTTCTTTCGAGAGGTCTCTGTGGAGGATGCCCGGCTGGGGAGGGTAAGCAGGTGGGCACTAGGGGTGGGCAGCTAGAGGGTGCTACTGCGTCCTGGGCCAGGCTTGCGTGCCTGATCCTAATCTCCACAGCACAGTTCCCTGGACTCTGAGCCCCCAAATGACAGTAGCCCCAGGCCTCTGCCCCATGAGCTGCTGTGTCCTTCATCCCTGACCCGAACGGACCTACCACACCATCCCCTTTACTTGCAGGGGCCCTAAAATTTGTCCTTGGTGCTTGTAACTTGCCACATCCCCCCGCCCCCACAGGTGCAGTTCTCCCGTGTAGCCCGTGTGTGTAAGCGAGACATGGGCGGCTCGCCTCGGGCCTTGGACCGCCACTGGACCTCCTTCCTGAAGCTGCGGCTCAACTGCTCTGTTCCCGGGGACTCTGCCTTCTATTTTGACGTCTTGCAGGCCTTGACTGGGCCTGTAAACCTGCACGGCCGCTCTGCTCTCTTCGGAGTCTTCACCACCCAGACGAATAGGTTGGTAGGAGGTGGGCAAGTGCAGCCTGACCTGCCCCCCGACCCGTCAGCTCCCAAGCTCCCCTCTCAGAGTCTGCTGATGGGGCAGAGGGCAAGCTCAAGCAAAGGCAGTCTGCCGCCCTGCTCACTCCCTTTCCTCCTGGGGTGGCACCCTCTGACCTGGTATGTGAAGGGCAGCTGCCATTGCTTACCTGGGAGGAGCTGTGCCGTTTCCTTCAGCACCTGCCCCCCACCTTTTCTGGCTCCCTCAGCATCCCAGGTTCTGCGGTCTGCGCCTTCTACCTGGACGATATTGAACATGGGTTTGAGGGCAAGTTCAAGGAGCAGAGGAGTCTGGATGGGGCCTGGACCCCTGTGCCTGAGGACAGGGTTCCCTCACCCAGGTACCCAGGATGCAAGTGCTTTGTGGGGGACATTCTTGGGAGTAGATGCTGGGATTGGAAAGGGGGTGAGGTGTCCAGGGGCTGGGGAGGCCTGTAGTGGGTGGGCAGTGGGCGTGGGGCTGCTCTGGGCAGGGAAGCAGTGCTGCGTCTGTGAGTGGGAGCCGGGGTACCCATCCGGGTTGAGAGCAGTGAGGGTGCAGAGCCTGGGCTCCCTGCCATCAGGTGGCCCCTTTCCATGCTCTCACCAGGCCAGGATCCTGTGCAGGAACAGGTGCAGCTGCTTCGTTCCCCTCCTCACGAGACCTCCCCGATGACGTTCTGATCTTCATCAAGGCTCATCCGCTGCTGGACCCCGCTGTGCCACCTGCCACCCATCAGCCTCTCCTCACTCTCACTAGCAGGTATGGAGCTGGAAGCACTGCCCACTGCCCTCCGTCTCAGGCACTCCCCTCTCTGTGACCCCACAAGGGAAATCACAGTGCCGGGAGGTAGACCCTGACACAGCAGGAGCCAAGAAGGGAGCCTGGGGTGTGGGGCAAGGGCACAGAAGTGGGTACCAGGACACTTGGACTTCTACCGGACAGGCTGCCTTGACCTGAGGCCTCTTCCTCCAGGGCCCTACTGACTCAGGTCGCGGTAGATGGCATGGCTGGTCCCCACGGTAACACCACCGTCCTGTTTCTTGGCTCCAATGATGGGACGGTGCTGAAGGTGCTGCCCCCAGGACAAGCTGGGGGACCTGAGCCCATCCTACTGGAAGAGATTGATGTCTACAGCCCCTCCCGGTGAGGCCTTTGGAGGGGAGGCTCCCACAGAGCAGGGGCAGGATGGCAGAAGGGGAGGTGTGGGAATGGGTTGGGAACACCAGCACTGGCTCTGTGTGCAGAAACCGTGGGATAGAGATAGGGCGAGTCTAGGCTACATGGAGGGGCTGGGCAGCACCCAGGCTGTGCTCACTTGCTTGTCTGCCACCTTCTATTCGACTTGTCCAGGGAGAATGGAGCCTCCGCTGCCCCATCTCTGATTCTTTCTGGCCTCACCCTAGGTGTAGCAGGAAGCGTGCAACCCAAACAGCACGACGCATCATAGGGCTGGAGCTGGACACCGAGGGCCACAGGCTCTTCGTGGCTTTCTCTGGCTGTATCGTCTACCTCCCTCTCAGCCGGTGTGCCCGGCATGGGGCCTGTCAGAGGTGAGGGGGCCTGTGCAGGCCCTTCCTGGGGCAAGCTCCCTGGGCCAGAGGAGCTCAGAAAGAAACACAGGTCTTGGGGTGGTGGGGAAATGTAGGGGTGGTTGGGGTGGGAGGGTACCTCAAAGATTTTGAGGTGGGCAGCAACCAGGGTCTGCAGTAGGGGTTGAGGTGCACGTGGTGGGAATACAGAGCTGGAAGCTCCTGTAAGCGAGGGTGAGAGGAGCGGCAGCAGAAGGGAGGGGGACTGGACAGCAGGGTCCCAGCCTCACATGACTGCTTCCCCCAGGAGCTGTCTGGCGTCTCAGGACCCGTACTGTGGGTGGCACAGCTCCAGAGGATGTGTGGACATCAGGGGACCTGGTGGGTGAGTGAAGGGCCAGTCCCCGGACCTCCTGAGGATGAAGTACCCCACCTCCGAACCAGGAAGCCGAGGGCCAGGGTGAGAGATTGGGACAAGGTACAGAACTGCACTGAGCCACCCCCTTCTCCTAGGACTGATGTGGATCGGGCTGGGAGCCAGGAATCCACAGAGCGTGCTGACTGCCAAGGTAAACAGGGCGGCCGCGGCCTCAGCCACTGCCGCACAGGCGTGACTGATGGCCGCAACCACCATCCCAGGCACAGGCTTTTGTGGCACAGCTCCAGAGGATGTGTGGACATCAGGGGACCTGGTGGGTGAGTGAAGGGCCAGTCCCCGGACCTCCTGAGGATGAAGTACCCCACCTCCGAACCAGGAAGCCGAGGGCCAGGGTGAGAGATTGGGACAAGGTACAGAACTGCACTGAGCCACCCCCTTCTCCTAGGACTGATGTGGATCGGGCTGGGAGCCAGGAATCCACAGAGCGTGCTGACTGCCAAGGTAAACAGGGCGGCCGCGGCCTCAGCCACTGCCGCACAGGCGTGACTGATGGCCGCAGCCACCATCCCAGGCACAGGCTTTTGTCTTTCTCTCCTCCATCTTCACTGCCTCTCTCCCTTCATAGATGGAGCTACTGGGAGTCGGTCTGGCCCTGGGGATTCCGCTTATGGTGAGTCCTCTTGTCCCAGCTCTGCTTTCCCTTGTTTAGCGCAGGCCCCAGTCTGTGCCCCCTGACAGCAGCAGCCCAGCATCCTGAGAACCCGTCTCGGCAAAAGGCCAGCATCCTCCTCACACCCAGTATATATAGTGCTTGGTCACTGTGAACAAATAAATGAATGTCCTGCATGGCGACCCCTTCCCGTGTCTAGAGGAAAACAGAGGCTGCAGTCCTGCGCTCTTGGGTTCCACAGGAGGAGGGGGGAGGACCCCCTGGATGGGTATCAGTGGAGAGCAGGAGCCTCACTGGCTCTGACCTGGTCTCTGTCACCAGTGCTTCTGGGTCCTGGCCCTTCCCCTGAGATCCCCAGTCCCCCCAGTGATGCCCACCCCTGGCCCCAGTCTTCCACTCTTGGAGCTCACACTCAGGGTAAGGGGGCTGCCTGGGAGGGCAGGAGTGACGTGTGGGGCTGCTGGTTCTCGGAGACCTCTAAGCCACCCCCCCGCCCACGGTGTTTGGTGCTCACTAACGCCTGTTTGGAGGCGCCCTGGCAGTTGTTCTTGGCATGGCTAGGGGGGCAGAACCGGGACGGGGCCTGGCCCCGAGCTCTAGCCTGTGTGAGGGGTAGTGGGGCAGGCTGCGTGTGTGCGCGGGCGGGGGAGGAAACCCGGAGGAAGATCAGGGCGATGTGGAGTGAAGCTGAGTAGCAGCAGCCGGAGACACGGTGTCTCGCCATCGCCATGGCCATGCCCCTCCATGCCCTGCACCGTCCTCGGCCTGAGCCTCCCTCCCTCCTTCCTCTCGGTCGGCAGGCGTGCGCCGGGACCTGCCCCCAGCGTCGGCCTCCCGCTCGGTCCCCGTCCCACTCCTCCTGGCCTGTGTGGCCGCAGCCTTCGCCCTGGGCGCCTCAGTCTCTGGCCTCCTGGTCTCCTGTGCTTGTCGCCGCGCCCACCGCCATCGGAGCAAGGACATCGAGACCCCGGGGCTCCCGCGCCCTCTCTCCCTTCGCAGTCTGGCCCGGCTACACGGCGGGGGCCCAGAGCC